AACATTTCCTTGGAGTGTGGGACATAGGAAAGGTTGGGAACCACTGCTTTAAGGGGTGAACATTTGTTGGACCTAGCACGTGCTTTTCTTCAGTTCAGTATTTGAAGCTGTGCCTCTCTTAATTATCAGACTAGGAAACTGAATAGTGCTGTCACAACTGGTTTTCAAATAGAATATGAGTGCTAGGAATAAGGGGTCTTAAAGATCGCAAAGAAAGAGTATCATGGGTAAAGAAGAGAAGCTATAGGGCTATAACCGGTTGCTGAATAAAGCTGAACCTTTGCTTTAAAAGAGTGTGGCTATCAGCACTTGGAAAGGTGTCAAAACACGGTGGTATAGATTAAAAAGCTGCTGCTCCTACTGCCAGCTTTCCTAATTGCTGTTCTGACACCTGATCAGTGAAGAAGCTGTCACTGCTATCTTGGCTGTATTGTCCCTTCCACTGTCTCACTGAACTAAAATTATCTCTTTGGCCTGGGCTCATCTTCTCCAGTACTCTTGCTAAGATCATTTATGGAGGATCATTCCAAAGAAGCAAGCCACACAAGCAGCTCCAAATGCATTCTGCTGGAAACAGCACACCTTTTGGAGGTCACCCCTGAAGCAAAGTTTCTCAGTCTCAGATGTTTGACAGCAACAGTGTCTCAAAGGAAATGTAAGCAGAATTCAGAGATATAAATTTTAAGTCATGTGCTGAGTCTTTGAGGCACAAAGCTTGACTGAACTTGTAGAATAGCACTGCTTGTGCTTGAAAAGGCAGATGGCTTTTAGTCTATTTCTCATTGTTGAATAAATACATTGGCTCTGTTTCATCACTGTTGCATAAGAAGGGAAATACAGTATTTGCAAAATGGTGGATGAGATTTTCCAAACCTTCCGTTTTCTTCTGTGGCCCTACTTTTCTTAGGAAATGGGAAATAACTAGTTGGTAAAGTTGATAGTCACTGTATTCATCATGTCATCAACCCATATAATGGCATGAGATTGAAATTCTTTTTTAAAAGCCTTTAAAGGCTCCTCTCTGATCTTCCCAAGCAACCATCTGTTTTGCTAAAATAGGAATGACTTGAATTTCATGGTTGGAATCCTACTGGACAGTTAAAAATATGTATTTACTATGGGGCGATGCATTGACTGCTGGCCCAAACCCACCATCCCTACTGCCAGTGCTTTTTAAAAGCCGGAAAGCATTCTGATTTCTAAAAAGCACCAGCTGGAACCCAAGCTGATGGCAGCCAGTGATTCCGTGGTGATTTAGCATGCAATAATCCCCACCTCCATCCTGCCTCCCAGCTGCAGCCCAGGAGGCTTAATTCAGTTTAAAATACCAAGCAATAAGCTCTATTATTATTATCATCATCATCATTATTATTTGGGGGTTCAGGGGGTCCCTGTGACTTTTACCCTGCAAGAGCAGTAAAATAAATGTGGAGAGATTTCTTTCTGGCAATGGAAGCATCAAGCAGCTCCCAGGGGACAAAACTGTCTTGGGATACTTAGTTGTTATCACCTGGAGGTTATTCAATATTTAACCTTTTACTTGTGCAGGCTCACAGTAAACAAACATGTGGAATTGCTTCATTTTACTTTAATTTTACTCAAAAGATTGCATACTTACAACTACCCACCATTAAAAAGACTTCAGCAGGCTCTAGAATGCCTCAGATATTTGTTTTGTTTTGTTTATGTTTGTTTGATTTCCCTCCTGCTATGAGTGCTTATGGCTGAATGATGGGATGCAAAGAGCCATAATTTGACATGATGAGTTGGAATAAATCTTTGAATTGGTAATCCATTTGCTTTAATGTAGAATCGGATTAAGGGTAAGGGAAGGATGTTATATGATCTGTGGTGTCTTAACTTTCCTTTTGAGTTGGAATTCTATCATTGAATGGCTGAGCCTCTGTTTTACAGATTCTTGTCCCTACAAATATGTTGGGGTATGCAAACAGCGAGATCTAGCATACATACATGCAGAGTAGATTGCACATAGGCCAGAACACCCAGAAGCTGGTCTTTTGTGAAGAGTCTGCTCCAGATGGCACAGGAAAAAACTTCCCACATGCAGGTGCTGAAAGCTTGCTGAAAGGAATAGCTTCACAGCAAGTCTTCTCTCAGAGGGGGCTTTAATCTTTGTCGCAAATATTTACAAAGATATACACAG